CCTCCCCGCGCGCCTGCGCGGTTGCCTCCCAGTCCCCGGGCTAGTCCCCTCCCGGCAACCCGCCTGCCCCTGAGGCGCGCAGCTGGTCTTTCTCACCACTTGCCCCTCCTGGGCCAACACGTGGTCCCCCACTTTCCCAGGACAATGACTCGGACTGAGAGGAGTGAGACATTTGCCTTTACTATGACATGTAAGGGGAAACCAACTCAATAATCAAGATCAATACATTTAATTTTTTTTCAAAATAAAAACCTTAAAAGTGCCATATGGGAGGCTAAAACAAAAGGAAAAACCACTCATTCTGATCCTTTCTTTATTTAAAATTTTGATGTTTTGCTCATCGTGGAATTTTTTTTTTTGGTGGCTTCATTTTTTCCAATAGTATATTTAAAAAAAAATTTTTTTTTAATCTCCAGTACTGAGTATCTTGAGTTCTGAGTGTGCCCCTAAATTGTGCGCTGGAAGTGAGTCATCCACTGTGCTTGCCTCCCCCTAGTGACAGCCTTGCCCTACTGCCAGCTTCAGTGTAGTAGTGGCAAGGCTAGAGAAGTGCAAATGGCCACCTCCCCAGAATTTGTCAGGAATTAGCAAGGAACTCCCAGAGCTGCCGGCACAGGGGCCTGCAAACCCTCTAGGCATGTCCCAGCAGAAGGTCTCTGGAGGGTAAGGAAGGGAGAGTTACTCCAGCATCCCGGTTCCTAGTCCCTACATTACTATAAGTTTATTGATATTCTTTCTATTAAGTCATTACTACTAATAGTAGTTTCACTATTTTAATAACAATAAACTAAAAAAGCATTATTAATACTTATTAATACTTACTAATAATACTTACTAAACACCTTCCAGCTAAACACTTCACAAAATGATTTCACTTATGCCTCACCACAACTCTGGGAGGTTGGTTCTACTATTACTAATATTATCTGATTTTACAGTAGAGGAAACAGGATCAGAGTGGTTATGTCTCCTGTTCAAGGTCATCCAGCATGTACAGCAGCAGAACCAGGAATCAAATCCAAACTGGCTGACCCCAGAGCCCCTACCTGGGAATCACAAAGTATGAGGTTCCTAATCCTCAACCTGCAAGTGATTTGGTGGGGATTTTGGTTAAAAAGCATTTGAACTCCAATAAAAACCTTAGAAACAAATTGGAATGTTAGAATATCTTTCATAAAATGTATCACATCAATGAGTAAAGGTAGGAAAACAACATAATAATTTCCATGGAAGCTCCTTGTAAGCCAAGCTGAGAAAGGTACTTACATGTTATACAAAACCATGCTAACCCCATAGCCCCAGCCAAGAGGTATGATACCACAACTTCAGCAACACCCTCTCCCTCTGCAGCATATGGGCCAGTGTTTGTTGTACCACTGGTTGATCTGCTATGCTGGTCCCCTGGAATTCCAACCAGCCTCCCCAGAACCACAGCTGCTACCACCAGGCTGGGGAGGAGGAAGAAAGCTGCCCTCCCTTTTTATGATAACTTCTTTCCAGACTCTTGAACTAAAACTAGACCATCATTTTTGGCAGCTAAAACTTTACTGAGGACCTGGGTGATACCGAGACAGGAGGGAAGGGGGCAGGGCACAACCATTAAAAGCAATTGAGGATAAGACATAAACTGCTTAGAACCATCTCGGCCCAAGGTGGCAGAAGATTCAACTTCCAGTAGACCTTGAGTCTCATTACACACTCATTGTAATGTATTAGCATGGTAAGTGACACACCCACAGGTACCATGACAGTTCCCAGGCTAACTATAAAAGGTCGAGAAGTGGGCAGGGGCCCAATTCTTAGAAATCTCTGCCCCTTCCCCAAAATAGTAGGAATAATCCTTCCACTTGTCAGCATATGAAATTACCCAGTCCATAAAAACTAACAACCTTAGGGCCACCTCTCTCTGGCCTTCTGAGATGGCTCTGCCTATGGAATGTGTATCTCCCTGAATAGATCTACTTCCACTCTACTATGACTTGCTCTTGAGTTCTTTCCTGCGCAAGACAGGAACCTATTCTCCAGAAACAATATTACTCAAAGCCACATAAAGAAGATGATTTGAGATGATTAACAGTCTTTTAAATATTCATGCATTTATTTTGATGCAAATTCAAAATGATTGAAATAGTATATTAAACTACAATATCAGGCTAATTTTGCTTCTACTGAAGCTAAAAAGAGTAGTAAAAATTTTAACACAATATATTAAGGAAATAATGAAAGAGAAGTCATGAGGTATTAGAGCTTCCACAGAACTCTGTCATTTTTTTAAACCCAACATATGTTACATCACAATAATTATAAAAACACAAATAATGAGCTACAAACGTTTTTGTAATCCCAGCAGCCCTGGGCATGCATTTCTAGGGACAGTGAACGAAAGAAACAAAGTTGTGTAACTGAAATAAGCTTTTCCCAGCCACCATCGCATCTTCTCTCTTTTTTGATGATACAAGAGGTTTTCATTTATTATGTGGTTACTCTGTGCCAAGGACTGTGCTAAGTATATAACATTTGATTTATCATTTCACTGGTACACATTTTGACACTTAGATCGTCTTTTATTATGATATGACCATTTTGTAAGAAATGTCCTATGTAGCTCCCAATGAAAATATCAGGGGAGCACAACTTAAGCAGTGGAGTCTCCTGACCTGTCTCCCAGGCTACACTCTTGCTCATATGTTTCATCCTATGCTCTGGCACAAGACCCTATTTCTAAACATTTAATCTCTTTAAGCATATAATTCCTTTCCAAAGAATCACCCTTCTTAGCTGCTTTACTTCAAGAAGCATCCTAGTTTTATGTCTTGGTACTCATAGACATTAGCCCCTCATTCCAAACCAAATCTGTCTGGCAAGACGCTGTTCTCAAGGACTAGACAACATTCCTTACACCCCTGGGTTTCACCTGGCCTGAAATGTCTTTTGCACCCTCCCTGCCAATGTAGCCCAATGCTTAGGAGTAGAGTTCTGGAGTCTCACTTTAAGGATAGATCCCAACTCCTCTGCTGACATGACATCTTATCCATTTGGCTATTTGTGACTGAGACCATTATATCTCATCCTGAGAACTTCCCCTTTATCTAAAGGTGAAGATTAGTTGAGTAACTCCAGGAGAAAACTGTGCACTGGAAGCAATCAACAACTGGGGATCTGGGGGTCGGGGTGGGAGGGAGATTGGGATAAGAGACTCCAGATGTGAACAGAATTGAAAGGAAAAAGGATGAAGCCAACTGGTGTCCTTCAGAGTCCAATGATCCCATTCCTGGGCTCTCAGATGTCTGCATACAATCCCTCAAAGATAAAGTACATTCTTTACTAATGCGTGTTTGCCCTAACAGACTAATAGTCCTAGGTAGTGCCTAATCACACAATAGCTCAGGCTGGTTTGTTTCAGCCCATGCCTCCACCTTGTCAGTTATAAATCCCACTGCCCCTCCACAGATCCTAACTTTCTTACCTACAACTAATCAAAAAGCTTTGCACGAGCTGATCACGCAGCCCCCAATGCAATGTGTTCACCAACTCCTCCCCCCATAGAAGACCCTGCACTTTCATCCCAGTGGACACACAGGCACCTCTCCTCTGTGTGGCCCGCAGCTGTCTGTGGCAGCATACCGCTAATAAACTTTTCCTTCACTTTGCTTTGTCTCTGATAAATTCTTTTACCTCCTGCCCACCCGCCCGCCAGACCCCCCACGACAAAAAGGTTTTTTAAAACAACCTTTTGTCTCCTTTCATCTAAGATCTCCGAAGAAGCAGGTAATAGTTTAAGAAATAAGGGAGCCCATCATTGTTTGCCCCATATCCCCCTGTCTCCTCTTTCCCAGGCCGGACCACCTAGACAGCAAATAGTGGAGTTGATGGGGAGGAAGGAAGGAGGGGCGCCAAACTAACACATTTTACAAGGATTGTGACTACAGCTAATTACAGGAATTGAGAAAGCGGACCCCAAAATACTAACTCCCAGCCAGTCTGTCTCAATTCCAATCTCGAAGAACCCGCGCCTGGAGTGGGCCCTGCTCGCCCACCCCAGGGGATGCGGTTTCGGGGAAACAGGCTTTGCTCCGCCCGGAGAGCTGGGCGTGGCCAGCAGGCGGCGGCGCGCACCCTCTGAGCGCTCATATAGGGCGCAGCCCTGGAACCGCAGATCCCGGTGAGCCCCCGAGCTTAGAAGGCGAGAGGCGACATGAGCCGTGTGCCAGCGTTCCTGAGCGCCGCCGACGTGCAGGCCCACCTCCCCAGCGCCAGCCTGCTCATCCCGCCTCTGGAAGCGGCTCTGGCCAACTTCTCCAGCGGCCCCGACGGAGGGGTCATGCAGCCGGTGCGCACCGTGATGCCGGTGGCCAAGCACAGGGGGTGAGTGAGGAATGCCGCCCGGGCCAGAGGCTGGAGAAAGTGGAAAGAAGGAAGAGGAAGGGTGAGAAAGGAGGAAGCAGCAGGAAAAAGGGAGGGTTACCTAATCACTGCTAATAACAGCTGCCACCTAATTTGTGCCACCCGCTGCATCAAGTGAGCGTTTTACAGGAGTTACCTTGTTTACTTGAACACACTCCATACATAGGTGGTTAGTGATGCAACCGTTTCACTGATGGAAAAACAGACTCGGAGAGGTGAGGTGAATTACCCAAGGTTATGCAACTAGAAAGTGGTGGAACTGGGGTAGTTTTTCTCATCCAGTTGCTGGACTCTTGAACGTATTCCGCATACTGCCAAAGAGAAGGGCAGGGGGGTGGGGGGAGGGAGAAGGCCAGTGGGGACGTGACGGAGGACAGGCAAAGGGATATGGGGACTTGATAGGACACCTCAGCACGGATGGGAAGGGTTTAAAGCTGCTCCTTCTCTTCTCGTAGTTTCCTGGGCGTCATGTCTGCCTACAGTGCGGCGGAGGATGCCCTGAGCACCAAGCTGATCACCTTCTACGAGGACCACAGCGCCACCTCCCCTGGCCCCTCCCACCAGGCCACCGTGCTGCTCTTTGAGCCGAGCAACGGCTCCCTCCTGGCGGTGAGCAACCCCCTGCCTTGGGGTGGAGCCTGGCCCCTGTGCGCAGAGCTAGGCTCGGAAGTTAGATCTCTGTGGGCCTGGGGGAGTTCTGAATGTGACCACACATGCCCATCTCTGAGTAGCTGGATGGTAGCGACAGTGAAGGTTGTCTATGACGGTGTATCTGTTTCTAGGACTGCCTGATGACCCATAACCCTGCACCAGAGCCCACTGCTGCTTCAAGTGTGTGACAGTGTGGAAGTAATAATGTCGTCATTCTTGTATATGTTCTTGTCCTATACCAGTTACTCCAAATATACAGCTTGTGCAAACCCGGCAGCCAAGGAAACATTTATTTAGTGAATCTATGTAACATGGGGTTACATGAGTTACAGAATAGGGGTGCTCTCTAAAGCTGGCAGTTTTTTCCAAGGGGTACACAGTGACCTGTTTTATCATTTAATAATATCAAAATTTTTTTAAACATCAAAAATTTGATAATATTAAAAAATAGTAGTAGCTCATATTTAGTAAGCACTTGGCGTGTGACAGGCACTGTTTAAATGCTTCATATGTATTAACTCTTAATACTTAGAACCACCCTGTGGGGCAAGCAATATTATTACCCCCATTTTGCAGATGAGGAAACTGAATCTTAGAGCAGCTATGCTAAAGTTACCCACGTTTGCATAGCAAATATATGGCTCGGATGGACTTCAGTCCTACTCTGTGTAAGTTCAGGGCCCATGTTGTCTTAACTCTATACTCTGCTGCCTTTCCCCGCTGCCACTTCCTGAGCCCTCATCATCTGCTAGGCAGGAGAAATTGATCTCATCCAATTCTGACAGCATTCCTCTGTGGGAATTTTTTATTACACACACCCCCAATTTCTGTCGAGGTCCCTGAGGCTCAGAGTGCAAAGTCACTTTGCTTGAGGTCACACAACTAGTTAGGGAAAGTGCTCTGTGCCCTCCAGGCAGGCTCTGAGGCCAGGCAGCTGAGTCCTCATCAGGGACAGTCTCCTTAATTCTACCCAAACATCCCCTGGATCCTTAGTTCCTCCTTCTTCTCAGAATTTCTGGCTCCCCAAGGAAGCTGGCTGTTCATTACTCCTCTGGAAAGGAGCATCTAGCTCTGCCCAACCTCTGCACATCCAACGGAAATGGCATCCCTACTGGCGACCAACAGTGCTTCCCTGAGAACTGGGACCACGTCCCGCTTGGAAACTCAATGACAAGTGCCTGAGATCCTTCCTGAATCTGATCTTTAGCCACGCAGTTCGCTTCCTCATCCATAAAATGAGAATTCTGATGCTACTTGGTGAGGATCAGCTGAGATGAATAACACAGATGGAGGAGAACAGCGCAAAGGATGGTGGTTATTATTAGCCAGACACAATTCAGAATTACCTAGGGAGCTGTTAAAAACAAGGATGTCTGGGTCCCATCCCTAGAGATTCAGATTCAGTTAATTTAAGGGCTGTGTCTGGGCATGTGTATCTTTACAAAGCTCCACACGTGTGCAGCAGGAGTTGAAAGCCACTGAATATTTTCCGGGCCCTTGCACGGTTGTCAAGTGACTTACACTTATTTTTCAAGTTTCTCCTTAATTTGGTGTTTTGAGAATCCCAGGGAAAGTGAAGAAAATGGGAAATTCCTGAGGGCTCGCCATATGCTAGATGTTTTTCTGTATGCTAATGCATTTAATCTTTAAAATAAAAAACCCTGAATGGTTGCCATTATCTTTGTTTTCACAGGTGAGGAAACCAGTGCTTACAGATTAAGGTTTTTGTTCAAAGTTGCAGTTCTCATAATTGGATCCAGGTTCAACACCAAGCCCATGCTCTTTGTAGAATATTATTATGATTCCCAGGGTTACTCTTTGAGAACTTCTCTCCGCTTAAGTAGTCGATGAGGGTGCCCTTTGCTCACTGTTTCTCCTTTCCTCCAAGGTCATGGATGGAAACGTCATAACTGCACAGAGAACAGCTGCGGTGTCTGCCATCGCCACCAAGGTAAGATTAGTGCCTGGCTGTGCTGAGCTGGTGGGTGGGATTGGGTGTCTCAAGCTTGAATGTCTAAGGGAGAAGTGAGGAACTTACTTTGATCTTCCTCTGACATAGCTGGAATGTCATATGCCAGATTTGGGATGTCAAGTGAGCACAGCAATTCACAAAATGATTAGCTACCATTTAATGAGCCCCAGATTCCAGGTGCCTTACGTATGTTATTCCTGATCTTCACACCAACCTTGCAAAGTAAGTATGATTATCTCCATTTGCCAGGTATAGGGAATATGGCTCAGAGAGTTTATGTAAGTTGATCAAGATCACACAGCGATTAAATGGCAGAGCAAGACTTTAAAACTTGTCTGCTCTGACTCCCAGGACTACTTTCTTGCCTTTGAACCACACTGGTCCTGGCAAATCAGTGTGTCTGCCCCATAAGTCAGAGCCAGTGCTGCGTAAGAAGCAGAGGGGAAAATAAACAGATCTGAGCCAGACATCTATTCATTCAACAAGTATTGACTGAAATCCTCCCACATGTCAGGCACTGTTCTAAATGTCAGAGACAGGTCAGTGAATAAAACAGAGGGTGACATACACAGGAAGGGTTGGACAGTAAATAAAATAAAAAGTAAAATATATAGTATGATTTGCTAAAAAATATAGTTAACCAACAACAACTCCCTTTTGAGTTTAGTAACAGGCTAGGATTTGCTTTAAAAAACAAAACAAAACAAAACCACACCATCAGCAACAACAGAAAACAAACAGGATATTAGAAGGATGAACATAAAGCAGAATCGAGAATATTGAGAATTTTAAATTATCAAGGAAAGACCTCACTGAAAAGGTGACATTTGAGTAAAGACCGAAAAGGAAGTGCGTGAGTGAAACAGGAGCAGGGCGGGGAGCTCTCCAGGCAGAAGGAAAAGCAAGTGATGCGGTGACGATGTTCCTAACCCAGTGCAAGGGCATGCTGTGAGAAAAGCAGTATTTTTTGAGGCTAGGGTTAAGAAGAGGCGGTGTCTGTAGGAACAGTTGGAGTCTGAAATCTTTCACGTTAAATGGAAAAGTACAAGGTCTGGGAATGCTGGTGTATGAGGCTTAAGCATAAAGGAAATGTGGGGTCTAGCAGAGGGAGGGTTGGAGCAGCAAAAACCAGGTGTTCAGATTGTGTGTTAAGATCTTCTAAACACCTGATGGGGAGGGAAGAATGTGGGGATTAATCTGGTAATTATATAGGAAGAGAGTTAATACACCCCTTGATGAACTGGTTTTTTAAAATTATATCCAGCCCCAACTTGGATTGAAATAACGGAGGGACTCTGAATTCTGTTAGCTGGTAACCTAGGAACAAAGTGACTCTAACAATACTGCCTTACATTTGGAAAGGGCTTTGATCTTTTCCAAAATAATTATCAACCCATTGTCTCCACTTATTTTGGGGTTTCTCTGAGGAAAGCAGAGCAAGTATTACTGGCCTCATTTTGTAAAAACGAAATGGAGACTAGGATTTGCTGAAGTCCCTTGGAAGCGATGGGTCTTCTTGTTCCAGATCAGTACTTTCCAAACCAAACTATGTAGCAACATCACCTGGGGAATTTTTAAAAATTCAGATTCCAGGGGGATGGGGTATAGCTCAGTGGCAGAGTACATGCCTAGCAAGTATGAGGTCTTGGGTTCAATCTTCAGTACCTCCATTAAAAAAATAAATTAAAAATCTAATTTCCTCCTACTGCCAAAAAAAAAAAAATTAAAATTAAAAAAAAAAATCAGATTCCCTAAAGCACTGGATTGGAATTTCTAAGGATGGGCCCCAAACTAGTATTGTTTGTTTTGTTTCGTTTTGTTTTGTTTTTAATGGTCTCTGATTAATTCTGATGGTTCAGGGACTTAGTTCTTCCAGACCCAGCTCTCAGTTACACTGTTGCTTTTTGCATAGATAAAACTCTCCATTTTGGGCTGTTTCACAAAGGAACAAGGGTCTCTTTTACTTTTTGTGCTGGAAGAGTAGGATGTTTTCTTTTCCATCACTCCTATTTCCTTTATGACTTTTGGGCGGAGGATGAGAAGTACAGGAAGTTCTCAGGTTTGTCGGACACTGTAACTCGTATTTGGGTTGCACATACCCTGAACTGGGGACTCTGACATGCTTTCTCAGGGTGATAATATACATCAGGGTTTATCCCTGACACACATTGGTTCCACAAATATTTGAGTGTCCACCACGCTCCAGGCCATGTGCTCAGCATGGGGCATAGAATGGTGACTAGAACCAGATACAGAACCTGCCATCATGGAGCACAGAGCGCATCTAGGGAGACAGACATTAATCCAAAGATCACACCAATTAATGTGAAAACTACAACCCTGACACACACACTGAATGGAAGGGGGAAAGTGCTATGAGAACATAAAATTGGGGGTCTTGATCTAATCTTTGGGATTTTGGAAGGCTTTTCCTCTGTGAGGCATATCTAAGCTGAGATTTGAAGACCAATAGAACTTACTTGTGAGGGGCAGAAGGAAAAGCACTCCAGGCAGAGGAAAGGTGCAAAGGCCTGAGGATGACAGAGGTACACGTGCTTGGGGAGCTGCCAGGAGTCCTATGTGGCTAGAAGACAGGAGGTGTGGGGGAGCTTGTCCTGAGAGGGAGCTGGGGAGATGGGAGGGCCAGACCAGGCAAGGCCTTAGTGAATGCAAACGAAACAGCCTTTCAACCTCTTTAAGAAACCTGGCAAGTTCATATACATGTTTTTAATTATCTGCATGCGATGGAGAAAAAAAATGAAGTGCCACTAACCCTCTTATGATTGGTTTCTTTTTTTGGCAGGGGGGTTTATTTGTTATTCTTTTTAGAGGAGGTGCTGGGGATTGAACCCAGGACCTCAGGCATGTTAAGCATGCGCTCTACCGCTAGAGCTATGCCCTCCCCCCATAAATTTTATAAATGTTATACTATTTGGGAAAAGAGATGTCAATTATAACATTATTACCAAGGCAACAAAATAGTAAGTAAGACAACCAAGCAGGATTACAGATTTACTTTCAGAGACCGAAGGTTACTTTTACAGATTACTGCAACCATTTCTGAAGCCCACATGTACTTCCAAGAATAGATTCATATTAACTGACAATAGAAAAAAAAATTGACTTAGTTATGGAAAAATCACCTAATTCTCCTTACTGGACAGGAGCATAAGATTACTAGTCTTGTGGATATTGTCATTTTGAAATCTTTTCAAATCAGATTCTTTGAACTATAGTTTATGGCACAAAAATGGTGTCTCTCCTTCTGCAGCCACAGGAGAAATGAACATCTGCTATTACGTCTGAGACTCCTTTTGGCAAGTGATTAATAATTAAGAATGCTTTAATTTTTAAGGTCGTACTCCAGAATTTCAATAATTAGCGTTGTAAGAAAGAGCAGACCCAAGGAGCTCAAATTTTATTAAACGAAATAGAGAAAAGGCGGAGGACAGTCTTATTTAATATGGATGATTTGAACAGCAAGTGATGTCCTTCCTCAATGCCAGTAGTTCTTAGCTGAAAACAATTTTGCCAGTTGCTCCAGAGATAATTAACAGTGTCTGGAGATTTTTTTGGTTGTCACAACTGAGGGCATAGGGGGTGCTAAGGGATAGAGGTCAGGGATGCTGCTAAACATCCTATAAGGCACAAGACAGCCCCCCACTTGCTCCCTCCCCCTCCCCTGCCAACAAAGAATTATCCAGCCCAATGTCAACAGTGCTGAGGTTGAGAAACCCTGCTCTATTTCTTATAGGTAATAGTAGATATGGGCTATTTCTGTGCAATTAAGACTGTCTCTGTTTTCATGGGGCTTCCATACTGGTACAAGAAAATAAATTTGTAAGCAAATAAGTACTATAAAGTGGTGAATTCTATCAGGGAGGTCAGAACTAATTTGCTGGAATGGTGACACTTGATATGAATTGATTGTAAGAACCCTTCTCCCACACTCAGACACACGTACACCCTTGGCAGAGGCCACAACACGGTCACTATATTCCTCTTTACAGGAAGACAGAGGCTAAGAGAGGATCAGCAGAGAGTGGGCACAGCAAATACGGCTGAGAACCTGGGGTTCCCAGGGCTCATGGACTCCAGAAGCAGCTCACCGCTCAGAGAAGGAGGTGTGGCTTATCATGCCCCTGAGATGGGGTAACGCAGCAGAAAGAATGTGGGCTTTGGAGAACCAAAGATGCGCTTTGGAGTCCTGCTGTGCCATTTAATAGTTGAAGAACCCTGAGCAAGTTACTTAACCTCTCTGAACCTCAATTTATTTATCCTTAAGAGGAGGATAACTATAGGAGTATCCAGCTCATAGGGTCATTTGTCTGGACTAAATGAGATCACGAGGGGTTAAGCACTGGCAGATATTAGGTACCCAATGAGGGCGGCTTCCCTTCCTCCCCACTCTACAGCAGCGTGGAATTAAAAACACAAAACGATATCTTCTTCATTGCCCGAGAGGTCCTGAAGGTCACCTGATCCTCAAACTGCATTTGTTTTTCTCTTGACTGCTAGTGTCTCCCTTGACCTTTTCTATCTCATTTCTCTCAAATAGTTTCTGAAGCCCCCTAGCAGTGAAGTGTTGTGTATCCTTGGAGCTGGGGTCCAGGCTTACAGCCATTATGAGGTCTTCACAGAGCAGTTCTCCTTCAAGGAGGTGAGTCCAGGGAGGGTTGTGGGGACTGTGAGGGGAGTGGGGAGTGGCAGTGACCTTTGTCCGTACTCCTTCATTACAACATGGGTTACGCTGAAATTTAAGTTGAGAATCCAGTCTCGACCATTTATTTAATGACTTGCCCAGGAGTCCCACTGGAGGTGAAGAGTCTGGAAAAAGGCCTGAATCACCTTTCCCAGTTTCTCAGTTCGCAGGGAATGCCCAAGTACGCAGAGAGCCTACTCAGCTACTTAAAGGATTGTGTTAGACCCGTTACCTACATTCAGTTGTCCTTTTGGCCCTTTTCTACGCTTCTCTTAGGAGAATCTGGGGTCTTTACATAGTCAGGGTTAAGGATCCGGGACCTGGGAATGAAGCCACAGCATTCTTCCTCTGTAGCCCAGATACTGGTCCACCTTTCCCCCGTGCCGGCTGGTGCACACTGCCTACTGTTGTTAAGACATTGGACACTACTTTTATTTTATTTTTTGTATGTGTGTGAGAGAGGTGGGGCAGATTCAAATTATGATTTTCTTTTATGATAAAAGTAACACCTCTGCTTTGGAAAATGAAGACATAAGGAAGAAAACAAGAGAATAATTCCCTTTTATCTGTTTTCAAAGACAAGCAGTTTAACATTTTCAGTCTTCTCTCATATACTTTTTTATATCATAGTTTTGTGAGGTTTTTTCTGCTTTTTTAAATCAAAGTGTAATTGACATACAATATATTAGTTTCAGGTATATCATGATTGGATATTTATGTACTTTTTGAAATTGTCACCACGATAACTAGATACCATCTGTCACCATGCGAAGTTATTACAGTATCACTGAGTATATTCCCTATGCTGTACATTGAATCACCATGACTTAATTATTTTATAACTGGAAGTTTGTACCTCTTAATCACCTTACCTATTTCATCCATCCCCCACTCTGGCAATCACCCCAAGTGGTTTATTTTGTTCTCTGTATCTGTAGTTGACTTCTGAATTGCTTTGTCTGTTCATTTGTTTTGTTTTTTAGATTCCACATATAAATGAGATCACAGAGTATATGTCTTTCTCTGTCTGACTTGTTTCACTTCGCATAATACCCTCAAGATCCATGTTGTCTCAGATAGCAAGATTTCAGTCTTTTTATGGCTGAGATATTTTATTGTATGTGTATATATATATATATGTATGTATATATATATATATGCCATGATTTCTTTATCCATTTATCCATTGATGGATACATACGTTGTTTGTATATCCTGGTTATTGTAACTAATGCGGCAGAGAACATGGGGTTGCGCATATCTTTTTGAGTTAGTGTTTTTGTTTCCTTCAGATGAGTACCCAGAAGTAGAGTTGCTAGATGGTATGGTCGTTCTGTTCCTAATTTTTTGAGAAACCTCCATACAGTTTTCCAGAATGACTGCACCAATTTACATCCCCACCAACAATGAACTCAATTTCCCTTTTTTCAGCATCCTTGCCAACACTTGTTATTTTTTTGTCTTTTTGATAATCACCATTCTGACGGATGGGAGGCGATATCTCATTGTGGTTTTGATTTGCATGTCCCTGTGGTTCACTGACACTGAGCATCTTTTCATGTGTCTGCTGGCCATTTGTATGTCTTTGGAGAAATATTTATTCAGATTCTCTGCCCATTTTTTAAGCAAGTTGTTTGGGTTGTTTTATGTTTAATATTAAGTTGCGTAAGTTCTTTGCATGTTTTAGATATTAACCCCTTGTAACACAGTTTTAATCATGTTAAATTTACAAAGTTGCACATCCTGTATTTTCACTGAATGGCCTAACACTATCACTTTTCCAGATTTCCTAATTTTTGTGTAGTATTTCACATTTTCTATCAAGAAAGATGGTACGGTTAACCATTCTCTTCTAACTGGGCGTATTATATTGTGTTTCACCTTAGTTGTTGAACTTACCTAGACATAATGTTTATTTCCATATTTGTTATATTTCCTTGTGAGAGATTCTTTAGGCCTTATTTGCCGTTGAAGGCTGACAACCCCCACCCCAGACATCAATGTCTGTTAAGCAAGCTAGCGAGTCCCCATCTCCTGGTGATGCCAATGACCCACCCCCTCTCCACCAGCACTTTCCAGGATTCTAAGTGTAGCTACTACCCTTGGCCTTTTCATCTGCTGCATGACTCATTCCTGAAACCCTTCCAATCTTTAATTCCCGGCATATCCTTCAGAGATCAAGCTTTTCCATGCATAGCACTGCACATCCTGTTTGTGAATCTCACACCTGTTATGACTCCTTTACAGAATCCCAAACATAAACTGTGAGTTTAATGCTAACTTTTGCCAGTTATCATTCACATTTTACAGACATGGAAACCGAGGCTGAATGAGGGGAAATAACCTCAGGAACAGTTAAGTGACAGAACACGGATTGATTCTAAGGCCGTCTCGCTCCAGAACTCGCTCTGCTAATCATTAAGCTCTATAGTAGCTATTAAGCTACTGAGGCTGTGTGTCCCAGGCTAGAACTGAAAAACCTCCCCTCTTCCTACTGAAAAACCTCCCCTCTTCCTGAAAGGGGAATATGGTAGACAAAGGTCATTTTCAAATATCTGGCCCAGATTAATGCTATACCCTTGATCAAATATCCGCTCTCCATAGGGAATGATTTAAATAACCACAGCCCTTACCCCAGAGTGGTTCAACTTTTCCTTGTGCCCCTGGACTTGATGAAACATAAACCGTCAAATACTCATGGCACCCATGTCCCTCTTGTCACCCGCAATGAAGGTGAGGATATGGAACCGCACCAAAGAAAATGCAGAGAAGTTCGCAGACACAGTGCAAGGAGAGGTACAGGTCTGTTCCTCGGTCCAGGAGGCTGTGGCAGGTGCAGATGTGATCATCACAGTCACCATGGCAACAGAGCCCATCTTGTTTGGTGAATGGGTGAAGCCTGGGGTTCACATCAATGGTAAGCAGAGTGTCTCCATGAGCTTTGGGTGGCCGGACTCTCCCTTGGCTGGACCAAGGGGCCACGTCAGCAGAACTGGTTTACTCATGCAAATGCCCAAGCTTCTTAAGGGCCTCAGACATATTTGAACCTTGAAAGACAATATTTACTCCAAAATATGAAAAAAAAATCACAAACCTGAAACTAATACATTTAATTAAAGTTTTATAAAGTGTAAATGATCAATTACAGCTCAGTTCTAAAATGTCATGAAATTTAAATTACGAAAGTCAAATGACTCACTTACTCTTAACAACACTTAGAATTTTTTTTTAAATTTTAATTACACCACAAAAGACATTTCATGTGACTTGTGGATGCTTTTTAATATGCAGCATATGATGGGTGGGACTCTAATCAAAAGAATTCCTGGGGCCTCTAAAGATCCTCAGATGGCTTTGGGGGTTGGCAAGATCTGATCTCTATTGAATACCTACTATAACAGGTGCTCTTCTAAATTCTTTGTATGTCCCATATCATTGAATCCTCACAACAACCTTATGAAGTAGGAGCTATTATTATCATGACCATCGTTTTACAGGTGGGAAAACCAAGGCATGGAGAGATTTAAGTAACTTGCCCAGAGTCAGAGGTTCCTAGAGACAGAGCTGGCATTTGAGCTAAGGCAGTCTACCCTCAGAGCCCTAGATCTTAAATAATGTCCTCTATCATCTTTCAGTAAGAAGACTGGATTCTGATGAGCAAACAAATGAAGACTAGAGAATTTAAATGTGGTATCAGTGCCCCACGTTTTAGTGACAAGCATGTGGTGTGAATTCACACGATCTAAGATCTCTGCACACATTGGCAAATGAGCTTGCAAGAGCCAAGTATCACGACTATGTGTTCATTCACAAGCATGTGCTGAATCCCTACCGTACGTCAGGCACTGTTCTAGATGCCGGGGACGTCACAGTAAACCAGCAGTCAAGGTCACTACTTTCCTGGTGCTTACATTCTAGTGAAGGGAGACAGACAACAACCAAGCAAACAAATAGATGAGCTAGTAGTTCCAACTAAAGAGAAGTTCTATGAAGGAAGCAAAACGTGTGATTGAGGAAGGGGCCATAGTAGCCTGTATGGGACTGGTATTATGATGTGTGTCCAGGGGTTAGGTCTTGCTGTTCGAAAGCCAGACCCGAACAGTAAGACCATTTCTGGAAGGACTTGGGAAATCAAGAGAAACCAGTTCTAAGTAAAATGGACAAGCGCTGAATATTCAGCAAGACTGACTTGATTTTTTTTTCTGCTTGTTTTTTTTTAGCACATAAAACAGCACATATTTATTATCTCACAGTTTCTGTGGTTCAGGAGTCTGGGCATGGGTTAGCTGAGTCCTCTGCTCACACAGGGATGAAATCCAGGTGTTGTCCAGGCTTCAGTCTCATCTGGAGCTCAGAGTCCTCTCCCAGGCTCACATGGCTGTGGCAGGTTCCTCCCGTTGCAGGACAAAGGTGCCCGTTTTCTTGGGGCTACTCTCAGCTCCTAGCGGCTGCCCACATTTCTTGCCGTGTGGCTGCTCCACCTTGAAAACCAGCATCAGAGAACCTTCCTCATACTGGATCCCTCTAATGCTTTGAATCTCTCGCTCCAGGAAGGGCTGACTTGATTTTGAGTCAAGGCACCTCGTATCTCTCCCTAGCCTAAAGACAAAATCGGTTATGTGTTCACAGAAGCATCAAATATGCTTATGTGTTACAAGTGCAGTTGACAAGGAAACACCAACAACAAATCTTACTTACTTTACAGCTTGGCCAGGAGATCAGCCCAATTCCAGCCTCCCCTGCATGTCCCTCATGCTGCCCCTGGAACATCATCAGCCAGTGTCTGACGCTCACCCGATCTAGCCCCACTGAAATAAGGCCAAAGTCCAGCCTGAGGCAGGCCCCTCCCTTTGCAGCCTGGCCCACCTCCATCTGCCTGAGTGGCCTTATGCAACCCTTTGAGAACTCACCCTCCTCAGAACCAGGGGGGTCAAGTGCAATGAGAAGAGGTGGCTTGAGAAGCTAGGGTTTTTCCCACCAGCTGATGATTTATTTACGAGCTTCATTACTTGGTGTTTTTGTTCTATAGAACTCTTCACACAAACAGCCTTCAAGATGGACATTTTTACACCACCACTCTCTTTGAAAATTAGAGTGGGGGAGAGCAGCAGGAGAGGGAACAAGTAGAGAAAACTGGATGGCGGTGAAAGAAGGCATATAAATGCTGCCGTATATTTGTGTAACGCTTTATAGCGGTTTCCAAAGACTGGCTGGCAGGGGCTGGATCCAGCCAGCAGATGTGTTTTGTTTAGACCATAGACTGTTCTGAAAACCAGGAAATAACACATGCAAATAGATTTCCTGCTTCCCTTTAAAAAAGCGGGGGTATCTAACAGGGGCCCTGCATTCTCACATGGCAGTAATGAGCTGGAGCTGAACAATGACCGTCCCCTTTAGAAGGGCCTGCTTTCTTCTCTGTACCTCAGTCTCCAGCATTTCCAGTCCAGCCTCTCTGACCAGCCTTGCTCATTTTCACTACCTGCCTAGCCCTGCAGGCATTTGGTTGCAGCTTCTGCATTATCCTATGTCCTAGTGCTGGGAGGCATGATGCCTTGGATTCATCGTTAAGATTCTGGGCTGTGCAGAGGACGTGAAATCTTGGTGCCAGGGTGCAGCTGGTTTCCTCTTTATTGGGGTTTCTCCGTGACCCTGGCACTGGGTTCTTTTCTCATGAGTTAGGAGAGAAGTGGTTGGGGTGAGGAAGGGGAATGATTGAAAAGCAAGCAGACAGACAGAAGACAGAGGAGTGTGGGGTGTGAATAAGTTCCAAGTGATGTCTCTGTTTTAGAGTCTTTGTGTCTTTGTGGGGAAGTCACTGTTCCTCGTAAGCGGAAGACGCCTGAAAGGCACGTGCTTTCTCAGAACCACAGATGTGTGCTTATTAGGTACTTAACCTTGGCATGTACCGCTTCTTTGAGCCTCAGCTTAAATGGGAAGCAGACATGAAGTGTACTTGGGAGGACTATAAATAGCATGTGTGAAAACAGCCCACAGAGAGCAGGCACACAGTACATGAATGCTGAGTTGCCTCAAAGTCTTTTTTTCAGTAACGAGAAGGGGTATGAAATGGAAAGGTAACAAATGCCAGATATTATTCTTATGAGTGGGTATTCAGTCTTGTTGATCGGGAAGGAGTTTGCCTGGGGAAATGAGGCAATCCACATCTGTTCCTACCTGCCCTCTGCCACCTCCTTTTCCCCCCACCCCTTCCATTCTTCGGTGTGTTCGTGACTATTTCTAGGCTCAAAATATGTTTTGCTGTCTCTTAGCCATCGGCGCCAGCAGACCTGACTGGAGGGAGCTGGATGATGAGCTCATGAAAGAGGCTGTGCTGTACGTGGATTCCCAGGAGGCTGCCCTGAAAGAGTCTGGAGATGTCCTCTTGTCAGGGGTGAGCCTCCCCTCCTGGTGGGCTTTTGCCGACTGACCTCGCCTGGATCCCAGGCTTTCATTAACTCTCCTTCAGTCTGGCCTGCTCCAGAACTTTGTAACCCCCACCTCTTTGTGGGGTGGTAACTCCCAAATGTCTCTAAACCATTTCTTATCCCCTTCCAGAATAATGTAGCCGTTATGGTGGTGGCAAGTGTTTTCCTGTCCCTTTTACCTGAAGAGAGCAGTTTGATGGATTTTTCCTTTGGACTAGGCTGTCCTATAAAGTAGTAGAATTGGAAGATGGGAGCCCTTTGCAGCTTGGAAACTTTCCCAAAATTAGGACTAGGGTTGGCCACTTTCTGGCCTTCTTTTTCTTTCGTAATCAGGGCATAGAATAAGAAGGGGGACTGCCAAAATAAGACAGAACATGCCTATTTCTTCACTGACACAGTGTCCTGGCAGGACATTCCTCTGGCCACAAATTTGTATTTCTGCAATCGTGGTATCACAAAGGCAGATGCTACACCACTCCCACCCCAAAAAGAAAGATTTAAAGGGGAAGTGTCCTCCCTGACATCATCCAGCTCATAAGGTCTTGTTATCAAGTTTATCCCTTATCCAGCTCAGAGACACCCTGTCCTGGCTTCAGAAGCTGGCCCTGAGCAGACATTCATTCGCTCCATGGCCTAGATCAGCATGTGTTCATTTGACAGGCCAAGATCTTCGCTGAGCTGGGAGAAGTGGTGAAGGGAGTGAAGCCAGCCTACTGCGAGAAGACTACAGTGTTCAAGTCTTTGGGTAAGAGCCACTGCTCCCAGGGCACAGCCCTAACCAGGGCACAAGGTAGGTTTACCTATTGGTGGGAAGAGGAATGAGTCAGCAGGCTCCATAGCTCAGTAATCGTGAAATCTATCATTCAGGTCAGTTATTTACATCTTGGCATCGTGGTGAAGCCTGTGAACTCTGGAACTGGGCAGTCCTGGATTAGATTCCCTTCTCTGCCCCTCCCTGGACAGGCATCCTTGAGCAGGTGACATCACCTCTCTGAGCCACAATTTCTTTACCACCTGTTATCTAGAGTTTTTGTGAGAATTAAGTGAGACGTGCATGTCAAACAATTTACACATAGCAAGTGTCAGCATTAAGTCATTTAGACTCAGATCTAAATGAAACTTAAAAGAAGATATCCTTCAGAGGTGGAGGGTGGGAGAAAAAGAATGTTAAAAAAAAAAAGAGCTTAAAAGAAATAGCAAGGAGACCCAAGCTGAGAGAGACCCAGACAGGAAATATAGCCTGTGACCTTTTTTCCCCTCCTTCCCTACCTTCCTGCTTGCTGATTTTAGAAGGGCTTCACTGTGGAGCCTGTTACCACCTGAGTTAGCACAGGCAGAAGCCCAGCAAACAAAGGGCTCCCAGTGGCTGGTCTGCCCTTCAGCCCAGCTGTCCCACCTTATCAGATTTAAAGAAATGGATACAAACGGTCACAGAGATCATTTTCAGCTCATACACCTAAAATGTTGAAATCCTCCCAAACTGGTTGGTAAATAGTTGCTGCCCTGAGCCCTTCAAGCTCTCCAGGCCTTACATATTTCTTAATGATCAAGCAACCAAAGCTTTAATGCTTGGCAGTGTATTTAAAAGTGCTCCAACCACCCAACACCCACGCCAATCAGTCAGTATCCGTGCCTTGCCATCTGTTAAATATTTTTTTTTAAGTCTCTCATGCACAGAAAGACAGGCAAAAACAGCTTTATCTAGAGCCTGGTTCAGAGACATCACACTGATCTAGTTATGTCTGAAAGCTTCATTGTTCCTAGCAGATCGGAGGTCAGTGACCCCTTCAGGAGACAACAATGCAGAAGAAGCCTGCTCTATACTTCTGAGCAATTTTTACTTTCTCACTTTTGGGGATTGGTTTATTGGCACACTTTTTCATCTAAGGAGACACATATTAAACATCTGTTATGTATCAGGCTCCATATTGAGAGCAGTGGTGGCTACAAAAATTAATAAAAACTGGCTCTTGCCCTTTAAGAACATACACCAATTCAGGGTTAACATATGTGCCCAAAACAACAAGACAAAGGGGGCGTTGCTGAAGACTCAGGGTTTGGACTAGACCAGAGAGGTCCAACAAACTGAAAACCATGGGCCAAACCCAGCCCCCCTGGGAGTGAAATCGTTTTTTTACATTTTTCAAAAATGATTGGAGGAAAAAATTAAGAGTATTTCATGACACAGGAAAATTATATGACACTGAAAAATGCAGTGTCCATAAAGAAAGTTCTGTTGGAGCACACTCAGGCACATTTGTTTACCTGTTGTCTACAGCTGCTTTTGCACTAGAACAGCAGAGTTGAGTAATTTCATGGAAGTGGCGTACAGAGCTCAAAATATTTACTGTCTGGCGCTTTACAGGAAGTTTTCTGGCCCTTGAACTAGCCTTTGAAGGACACAGAATTTGTTTGGTGGGCATTGTCAGCCTTGCCCTGCCCGTGGCTGACGCTTCAAGCCCAAGTTCACCGCTGGGCGTCAGTCCTTGTTACCCTGATGGGCATTATTGGCAGCATGGATGCTGTTTCAGGGAACCTGAGACCTGGGGTGTTTGAGGAAAAGTTGTTCTGACCAAAGGTGAACCAACTTTCTGTTCATTCCAGGAATGGCGGTGGAAGACATGGTGGCAGCCAAGCTAGTGTACGATTCCTGGTCGTGTGGCAAATAAAAAGAGGGAACTTTGTGTTGAGTGGATGCTGTAGCTCGAGGGGTGTTAATACTAGTTGTCTCATAATTTCAACATCAAATAAGGGAGCCCAGTGCCCAGTGAGCTACAGCTTTGTGTTTATCATATCTTACCTTAAATAATGAGATATCCCCTGTTGTGTTTGTAGTTGGAAAGCAAAACTAAGTGGCCATTTCTTCTGTAACGTCAGATTATTCTAGCATTCCTTTTCCCCTGTATTTCACTACCTTTTGTAATTCCTTGAAATAAAGCTCTTTCCAATTCTGCGGGTCTTGCTTTAGTAACTTCTAGCCCTCACGGCAAGGAAAATAAGGGGATGGAGTGTTTCTATTTGCTCCCTGCGGGAGCTCCAATGGCTGGAGTTAAATTTTTTTTTCTATTTTATTGAGATACAATTTACACACCATAAGATCCACCAGTTTGAAGTATCTAATTCAATATTTTTAGTATATTCACAGGGTTATGCAACCATCGCTACTGTCTAATTTCGGAACATTTCCATCACTCCAGAAAGAAACCCAGAACCTGTTAAGCAGTCATTCCCAATTTCCCCCAGTCCCTAGCAACCACTAGTCTACTTTCTGTTTTTATGGACTTGCCTTTTCTGGACATTTCGTATTAAATGGGATGATATGTTATGTAGCCTTTTGTTTCTGGCTTCATATAACTGAAATTTCAAGGAACTGTGGAGCTTCCATGTTGGTCGGGACTCCTCTGGTCATAAGTTGTGGAGATCACAACTCAAACTGCCTGAATCTGAATGAATGGATGAGGAATGGAATTTATTGGCTCTTGTAGTTAAGAAGTACAGGTAACTGGTTTCAGCTGTAGCTGTATCCGGGAGCTCCGAGTGTCATCAGGACCCAGTCTTACTCTCTCTGTCCCTTGGCTCTGTTTTCCTCAGTGTTGGCTCCGTTATCAAGTAAGGTCTCTCTTGATAGTGGCAGGATGGGTGCCAGCAGCTCCTGAATCAGTCTGTCCTCTTCAGCAACCCAAGCAGAAATAGACATTCTCTTCATTAACAGAAGTCCTAGAGTGGAGACTCACTGGACCACCTAGGTCATATGCCCATATGTGTAACATAGTAGCTAAAGGAAACAGAATATTCTATTTGGCCTGGTCGGCCATGTGCCTGTCCCTGAACCACTGCACCACGCAGGGGGATCTGATTTCCCTATTTTCCAGGCCTGAGTCACACGCCCCCTCTTGAAGTTAGGAGTGCCGTCAGCCCATCTTGCCACAGGAGCTGACAAAAGGAAAGGGGTCTCTTACCAGAAAGGAGGAGAAGTATGTATTGCATAGGCAAAATCTGCAGATGTCCATTATAGGGTCAGGGTTGAAAGAGTCATTAGGAATCATGTAGTGCCACCTCCTCAACTTACAGATGGGGAAACTGAGGTGCAGAGATGCTTTCCCCGGGTCCTCTGAGTCATTAGCAGAGCTGGGTAGCCCATTCCTGCCAAAGCTCCCATTCAAATCCTCCCACCCCAACCCCTAGGCTGGTTAAAAGTCAGCAGCGAAGAAAATCATGTTTATTTTGTTTTCTTACCCAAATTTCCTCCTGGCAGGTCCTCTTCATGCTCTGGGTAGCTTAGCTAAATGTTTTTGATGTTTCCCAGGCTGTCTAGCCTTTGTGCTAGAATACAATACCCCTGTGATCTGTTCTGCACACCTCAAGTGACTGTGGAGTCTTTCTGGGAATCTTAATGGTCACAAATGTACTGTAAAGGATGCATAGTGAAGAATATGTAATGATGAGACCATCAAAAGGGCCTTAATTCATTCATAGATTTCCTCTTTCCTTCTTTCCATAAGATCCCCTACCATAACTTCTGCTAGGCTACTGACAGAAAAGAAGTAATCCTTACCACCAAAAGCACAGATGACTCTCTCCAACTATATTAGAGTCGGGGAGGGAAACGGATCAAGAGCAGTGTGTGCAATAAGACTTTCGCCTTTCAAAGTTACTCTTCAGTTTCACATCGCCCACCCCCACCCTTGGATGGGGTGTGAACCTCTGAAGTCGGTCAGACTCCTAGGAACCAACAGACCAGGGCAATCTGCATCCTGCTTCCAGCCTAGACAACATATCCAGTTGTTCAACAGTATTTATTGCATACCTGCTGTGTGATGGACCGGCACTTGGTGCAAGGTATATATCAGTGCATGCAGGATGGAGAAAACTCCCTATCCTAAAGGAGCTTGCATTGTAGTAGGGCAGACGCTAGCTTCTCCACTAGGGAAGTGGGCATAGGAGAGTTCCCAGGAGCTGGAACTCTTTAATTTGCCTCCTTTGCTCCCTGATATAAGACTCAGGGTAATTCTGTTTGGTTCATACATTTTGAGCCAATCTTTGTGATAATCCCGGATACAGTATTTACCATTTAAATGGAACGGGGGTTATTCAGAGAATGGCAGACGAGCCTAGAGAGTCTATAAGCTAGGATACGTTAATATAAATAAAATGTAACTGTTGGGAAAAAAAAATAACTTCTAACAACCCATTCTGGCTTCACAGAGTTTTACATTATTCACTATTATTACATAAAGGGATTATGTTTGCTCCTTCCTTTTTAATCCAGCAATTGGATGGGTTTTATGTGAGGTTTTAAAATCCACGTGTTCTTCAAATTCACATCCCTTTATCTTATCACAGAATTGACAGGAAGTCCGATGGGATGGTCCTGGTGAGAGCTTCCGGTTCTGCTGGGCAAAACGTACCTTCCCTTCCTTCCCATATTTCTGAGCAAATTGCTAACCCCTTCAGTAGGGCAGCCTGGAAAATTCCAGTGAGACATAATCAAATCCCATGAAGCAGGACCAAATCCTATAATGCTGAATTCCAGTAACATTTCTGCTGTCTTTTCTTATTTTTCCCTAATAGTACTTTCCCATTTCTATTCTGCCAAGTAGCAATGCTGGTTTCCAGTCCAGAATTCTTTGTACCGCCCCCTATGCTGCCTCCTATTTGCTAGAATACATCATCTGGCTTTCTATATTATTTTTACCTCTGATGTTGATGTACAAAGCATTAATGGGAAGCATCCTTTTTGTTAACAGTAGCACTCCCCTAGTGGCTTTTACTTCTGCTATATCTTAGCAACGAGTCTCTCATCAGGCAGATTCTGGGGGATGCTCAGAGGGAGGATCCTGGCATCTACAATAATGAAAAACTAATACAGGCAGACTCAGACACTGCAAACTTTTTCTGAGTGCCTTCTATGTGACTGCTGCTTTTGTGTACATTATTTCACGTACAGCTGCAGTTTATTTCAGAACAAGGAAATGTGATACTTGGAAACATAATCATCCCCTGATATCACATATTTATTCAATAACTGACAACCTTTTCTATCCATTCATTGAGGAAGAATGTGCCAGTTGTTTGTCAGATCTAAGCATCTGTATCCTCCATGGTGCCTCTTGAAGTAACCCAAACAGATGTGAATCAGGAAGCATGCTGAAGCTGTTTCAATATTACACACATAATCAATGGTAAATTCCACTTAATGCAAGTCTGGCTAAAAAAAAAAAAAATCCAATGAAGCTTAGCTATTCAAGTAGGGTTTCAATTTGAGTTTGGGATTTGCCATTCAAATAACGTCAGCAGCAGTGTTGCCCACTTATATTGTAGAACCTATGCATATTCATATATGCAGAAATGATAGATAACAGTAAACAAAAGACATGTCCATAATGAGCTTAGCAATGTAAAACTTACTTTTACAACTGAATTCTCCTTACCAAGAACCTAGATTTAGTTTCCCTTTTTTTTAAGTTTCAGGAGACACTTGTCCTTAGAAAAATCATCTAGTGATTCTAAAAATCATACAGACTTCTTTTCTGTATCCTTCTTTCTCTCCTCCCCCACTCTCTCGTTTAAGCACTATATTAGTCTGCTAAAGCTGCTAAAATATCACAGACTGGTTTCAACAACAGAAATTTATTTTCTTACAGCTCTGGAGGCTGGAAGTCTAAGCTCAAGGTGATGGAAGGTTTGGTTTCTCCTGAGGCTTCCCTCCTTGGCTTACAGATGACTGCCTTCTTGCTGTGTCTTCACATGGTCTAGTCTCTGTGCATGTCCATCCCAGGTGTCTCTACCTCTTAAAAAGACAATGGTTATTTGGAATTAGGGCCTCACCTCATTTAACCTTAACACAGTCACACTGGTGGGGAGGTCAGGGTTTCCACATATGAATTTTGGAGGGACAAAAATTCAGTCCATAAAAGGTCCCATACATTCTATTTTTTTCCTTCTCTTGCCCTACCTTCCATCCTGTCTCTGTCCTTAGACCCATTTCTATTACTTGTAAACATGTAAACATCTGTTGAAGGGTTAGACACACTTAAATTGGGCATCAAGCCACAAGTCAACGGAGGGACTTTAGTCTCCACTAACCGACAAAGCCATAGAGCTAAGGACAGAGCTGGAGTTAGAATCCCTAGGCTATGAGGATCAGAAGTTAAGCAGAAGCTAGTGTGATGAGAGATTATAAATTTTAAGTCCAATGTTAGGAAAGTAAAGAAAATATTTTCCCTTCTCTGTCATCCAGTTCTATATTTAAAAATAGAAAGGATAATTGAAAAGAAATGCCATTTTCTTATTTGCAGATCTCCTTGAGTTTCTCCCTGACGATCTATTTGGACAGGTATAGAGTATTTTTCAGGATAGCGTTTGGGCCTCTTTTCTTAGGTGGACATCTCCAAAAGCCTAGAAACCTAGTCGTCTGGTATTGGGTAGAGATTGGGTGTTGCCTGGAATGCTTCCAGTGGGCCACAGCATCCCCCGACTGCTGCAGACTCACACTGATGCCCCGACACTCCATCAGAGGCTGGTGTCAACCAACTGCCCAGGCTGTTGTAGCACCTGCTTCCTTCTGTTTACGGCATTAAGAACTTTCTTCCTGGGACCCAGCTGCATTTGTATGTTCTGAAGGTCCTCATCAGAGCAAAGCAACAGAGCTTCCAGATCAATCTGCTCTCTCATGAAAATAGGAAGGAATTCTTCCAGGTGGTGGGAGTGTAAGAACACTTCCAGGGGAGTAGCATCAACCACGTCTTCCTCCCACTCCACTTCATCCTCATCCCAAGGCAGATCATCTTCATGGTTGTTTTCTTCTCCCTCTTCACCAGCCTCAGCTGCTTCTTGTCTCTGAAGCCATTCACTGGGTATTTTAAACCCCAACTCCCTCTTTCCGTCTAAGATTTCTTCAGGGCTCAATATTCTCTTCCTTCTAAAAACAACATTTCCTAAACCTGGACGGTTGAGAATGGATTCGTGTTGCACAGAGCTGTCCTCCTTGGCTGAGAACTGGAGCTTCTCTTTGAAGTCCCCTGAGAATGCATCTTCCTCCTCCTCCTCTCTGAACACTTCCATCACATTCCTTTGCCCACTTCTGCTCTCCTTCCCTACCTGCTCTGCTGTATCTTTGTTCTTCTTGAACTTTATCTTGAAGGTGTCTTTAATGCCTTTAGATAGTGACCCGAATTTGTTGGAAGCAGAAGCATTTGAAAGGGATGGCCCGGAGAAACTGCCCTTGGAAGAAGAAGGGGTACCAGATTCTTCCTTGCTGTAGGTGCGAGCCATCTTATTTTGGTGCTTCTCCTGGAGCCTCTCACACTCTTTGATCTGCCTCCTGGCATTCTTCTGAGCCTGCTCCTTCAGCCTGGTGACCTTCTTGGGGTTCATGATGTTTTGGGCAGTGGCAGCCTTATCCAAGAGGGCAACACATTCACTCTGCTCTCTGCTGGCAGCGGCATCCAGTGGAGACCGTAAGTCATTGTCCAGGGCAAAGATGTTGGCACCAAAGTTGACCAAGAATGAGACGCAGTGGGCATGACCATTGGAGGCTGCATAATGTAAAGGAGTATTTCCCCAGATGTCACATTTATCAGGATCCCCTCTAGAAAAGAAAATAAGAAAAACACATGCAAATGGTTTTCTCTGGGCATGACATCCAAAAAAAAATTTTTTTAAAACACATGTTGGGGAGGGTATAGCTCAGCAGTAGAGGGTGTGCTTAACACACACGAGGTCCTGGGTTCAACCCCCAGTACCTCTGTTAATAAATAAATAAACAAACAAACAAACAAACAAACAAACCTAATTACCTCCCCCCCAAAGAACCCCAAAATGCATGTTAATCCTGCCCTGACATTGTCACAAGATAACTTCTGAACATCCCAATATGTCACATCCAGACATCACACAGCCAGAAACAGAAACCCGTATCTCTACCCCCATCTCCTTTTTAGAAGCAAGAAAAGCTTTCCAAGAAACTCCCCAAATGAGCAAATTTCATCTCTCATTGTCCAGAATTGGGTCATGTGCCAATGGAAAGGGAAACAGAGCTACCTTGTTTATTTGAGGTCAATCAGAAATTTCCCCTGAAGCTAGGGATAGGATTACCCCATGGTGTGCTGGTAAATGTTTAACAACCAGCCTACCCAGAAGGGAAAAATAAATCAAGTTCTGATTTATAGCATGTGCCGATTGCTGTGGTGTAAATACACTCACCACAGCACATTTCAAGCTACTAATGTGATATTACTGGATGCAGAATTTGGAAGAGATGTGCAGTAGCTCATGATTATAAATTATTCCCATCACATAGCTATATAATAGATGTGTGTAATCTTAAGAGCAAAGAAAACCATAAAATATGGTTTGAATATGGTTTGAATAAAATATGACTAGAAAATGATGAGTTTTGAGTATTTCCTTTTTAATATAATTTATTAAATTGTAAGTTTATATAATTTGGTTTTTAATAATGTATGTGTTTATCTGATTTGAACTTCCTGAAAATTTAGCACTCATCTCTTGTGAGCTGGTAAGAGCTGGTTCTGAAAACATACTCGGCACCTCAAAAGCTCATGAAGTTGAAACAAGATAGAAACAAAAATGATAACATGGAGAACACCAAGCCTGTTTTGCAGAATGTAAGGGAAACCACAGATAAAGACATAACTGGCTGACAGCCCCTCTGACTGAGCATGAGCCATCACACAGGTACATTCAGAGACAAAAATGGCTGATAGTATATTTTGGGTGTCAGACTGAAAATCCACCTCATGTTACATACTGGAGCCCCCATCCCCAAAATTGCACATGCAATGCATGAAGAGGCATGAAGGACTGCTCAGAGAACTCTTGAAACTTACACTGAAACTGACACTTTCCACCAATCATTTCCGAGCCCCCTCCCCTTCTTGCTCCCCACTTCCCAGATAAATGCCCATTCAAAAGCCAATCAGGGAGACAGATCTGAACAGTGCCTCCTCCACGTTGCTGCACTGCAATAAAGCCTGTTCTCTCTGCAAAAGACTATCGCCTTGGTCTTCCAATTGCGCAGCGGGGCAACAAGACCACTTGCTCACTTACAGTTCCAGCACACCACTGCTACCCTCCTCTGAGTCACATGTAGGGAAATAAATAACAGAACAAAACTCATTCCCCATCAGCAAGGAAGAAGAGAGGAATGGATGTTGGATAAGAAGAAAACAGTCTAATACAACTAAACTCATAAAAAAGGTCCATTGATTCCTCCATTTACTTCCACGTAATTACAGTGTTTTATATGGGAATGGTTATGCAGTGGTTTCAGGTTGAATTGCAGGTATTGTGGCCAGGGATCCCATGCCTGACACAGAATCAGGTACCTGGTAGGTAAAAAAGATATGTGGGATGAATGACTGCCTACTGGAATCCTGCCCCAGGGCACACTCCCCACCCCTGCCCTTCTCCTATGACGCCTTGAGTTAAAAACAAGCACAAATAAAAAGTAAAGTAACAACTTCTTGTTAACTATGGCTGTGACCCCAAGCCACTGCTGAGAACTCTGATAATACAGGTGCTAAAGGGCACCTTTCCTTGTCCTAGTCTAGACCCCTAAATTAGGATCTCAGTAAACTTTTGCCAGGCTGGTCCCATGGAATGGCAGGAGAGAGAGTCTGAGAAGACCTTTTAACATTCCTGGAAAGTAACAGGTGGAAACAGAAGACAAGGTATCTATGTATTCAACATTCATAAAGCATTAGAAAAGTACACAGTGAATATTCAATGAACTTTACCTGTTATTTCCCTTGTCTCTAAACTCAAAGTCCTTAATTTCATATATTTATTTTTTTCTCACACCAGTCTAGTAAATTCCTGCAGCAGTACAATAGCTCTTGTGACTTTCTAAAACTTAGTCTTACTTAATTCTTCCAATATGACTTGCCCACCCCCTAAATACATAATATGCTGCAGAGGGCAAAACCTGTGTCTTTTGTCCTTTGCATCCATATAACCTAGCAGATGTCTTAAACTCAGCCTAAAGAAGTCAAGCAGGTATTGAGACAGTCTGGGACCTTGGCAGACCTCTCCTTGAGCAACAGAATACAAAGAAACTATAAAGGACTAAAAATAACTGTGTACATAAACAGTTGGGGCAAATTATGAACAATAAGATACAAAAAGACCAAAACTCCAACTGCCACTTCTGAGGTGTCAGGAGCAAAAGCAGGGTACTGTGCATGATCTCTGCACACAGCACCACCAAGGGGGTGGGTCAGCCACCTAAGCCACCCCTGCAGTCTGACCCATGGATCCACCCCTACCCTCACCCTACTTAAGGGACCAGCTTGCCCCTACTTAGGGAGTGAGCAAGGGAAATTGTTACTTGTTTTCCTTCCCTTGTGTGCAGCACACGTCCCAATAAAGGGACTTGCCTGAATTTTTCATCTAGCCTCATCAATTTCTATTGATTGAGTCCAAGAGTCCTGGTCGGTAACAGTAATGTAAGTAACTGAATGGGGCCAGATTTGTTCTTTCAACGAAGTCATAGTTAAAGGCAAGCTCCATCTAAAAGAATAGTTGTCACTCAGCTGTGGCTGATTGCTACCTTGAATAAAAGCAGACACAATATTGCCAGAGCTTTCATCTTCCAAACTAAGCCAGAAATCCAGAATTTCATGTGAAACTTTCTAATCGTTAAATGTTGGCTCAAATTTAAGAGAAAAATACGGTGAAGTCCAAATAAAATATATTTGTGGGCTAGATCCAGCCCATAAGCTGGCGGTTGGCAACTTCCTTCTGAGCAGAGAGAATAGTGGAAGCAGATGCACATGTGGGTGACATTTTCATATTTGGGGAACCAGGAGTATACTCCCGTGTGACTAGTGTGACCCATACATAGAGGTGATAGCAAGGCAAATAAGTTTAAAGAGGAAGGAAAGAAAAGAAAATTGAAAGCAGAGATTAAATAACACAGTTCTGTCGGGCAGCCACTTTTAGGAGGGCTCTGGTTAGTCTGCCTGATTTAATTATCTTGGATCAAAGGAAATCTTCTTTCAACCTTAACACAGTTACGTATCTTAGGGGAGTACAGTATCTCACCCCCAAAGATGGAGTTTCACTGTTTATTTTAACCAAACACCACATTCAAAAGACATCAAAGGAGGATTGTAAAACATCTGAGATCTTACTATAAACATGAACAAAAACATACTGATTAAATTTGCCTGAAATTAAATTGGATACGTTAAAAAAGAAATTATTGAAACGAGGGAGCTGTGGTGAGGATGTTACTGCGTATTAAGGAGTTCGGGTTAAATCTACATGCTTCAGGCCTTGGAATAGTAGAATTTTCCCATCCCAAGGGATCTTAAGTTATCCTTTCAAGATGGGAAGAAAAACATGAAGAAAATCTGACATGACCCCAAAGATTGTTCTTAAGAAAATTTCAAATGCAAAATTCCAAATTTACAGATGAAACTGTCAGTAAGCTGATTTGCGAGTTTCCCCAGTGCATTTAAGATATTTCCACCTTCAAAAATTCTCTTTATAGACAACTTTCCAAATTAATGTACAACTTAAATCAAAACTTTTTCTGTCGACAAGCTGGGGGGTCCTTCAAAACTCAATCTCTGTCTTTTGAGCCTTAGACTTA